TCCTCACTGGGCACGCAGACGCTTCTTGGGCTGACGACCAGGCTACGCAGCGGTCGTCACAGGGTTACACCTTCAGCCTTGGTTCCGGCTCTGTCTCGTGGCGGGCTACCCGCTCGTCTTCTGTTCTCGGCTCCAGTTGTGAGGCTGAGATCTACGCAGGGGCCATGGCTGCACAGGAGCTTCGCTGGCTCACCTACCTGCTGACTGACCTCGGAGAGCCGCCTCGTTCTCCTCCAGTGCTGTACGTAGACAACAAGGCCATGCTGGCCTTGTGTCGAGAGCAGAGACTGGAGCACAGAACGAAGCACATTGCTCTTCGCTACTTCCTTGCTCGTGAGCTACAGCAGCGTGGTCAGCTACGCCTTGCGTACGTGGCCTCTCAGGCCAACACTGCTGATATCTTCACCAAGGCACTTGCGCCTTGTGATCATCAGCGCTTCTGTACTCAGCTGGGTCTTGTGCCTACCTTGCCTCACTTGCTCACCCCTTGACCTTGTTTGTACTGTTACATATATATATACACCTGCTCTTGCTTGTTTAGCCTTATATATATATGTAATCCTGCATGTGAACTGGCCTTGTGGCCTTGAACTTGTGCTCGGAATGTGTGGTGACGTTGTGATCCACCCTGAGCTTGCTTTTCTTTGCTTTACTGGTCTTGTGACCCCTTGTCCTCCCCCACTTTGCCTATGGGGGTGTGTCAGATTTATATGACTTAGCTGCTGTAGGCTATAGTGGGGTAGCACATATGGGGTACAGCTTTCTAGGGTTTGTACTTGTACCCAACTTTCCCTTAGTCTTTTCATTCCTCGTTTCATTTTCACAACAGGAAACTTGGCACGGCAGTCGGACAAAACGGTGTATTCGTCCTCAACTTTGTACCTGAGCGTACCACTGCTGACTTCGAAAAAATTGTCTCTCTCGGCCCATGGGAGCATCGCGATGACATTGATTACACCGACGATACCGTTCCACGTGAGGGTGTCGTACCCACGTCGTCAACCACGGCTGCCGATGTCATGCTGACCTTTGACGACCAAGGCCTGAATGACGTACAGCCCTCTCAGGACTACCTTGCTTACGTTGGCGGTTGGGGAGATCCGACGAACATGCCCATGGGTGAAGGCGTCTGGGGGGCACAAGAACCCGACGAGACTGCTTGGGGAGAAATACCCGCTGATCGCGATCGGCGTCTTCTCACTGAAGCCGAGAAGCGCATCGCTGACATGGAAGTCCTCGACTCCGGACGTCTTGTCTGTGTCGAGCCTAGACCTGCAGCATCAGATCAAGAAAGCGGGGAGTTAGTTCTCGAACCTGGCGAATACGTCGACGTTGAAGTGAAAATTCCACCACCTAATCTTACCAGGTTCATCCCGCCCATCTCAGATCATGTCCGCGCTGACGGTCATCGGGTGCTGTTATCTTTCTTCGCTAACACCACAAAGCTAGTGCAGAAACATGGCATAAGCGTCTTGGTCATCCGTCACAGTCTACACTCAACAATACGATCAAAGCCGCTGTTCTCGACAAATACTCGCTTCTCTTACCTGGCGGCCTCGAAATGAAACCGGTCAATCGTCTGTCACCCTGCTTAATTTGCCCAGCAGCAAATCTACCGCAAGAGCCGTACCCGTCTCATTTTCCTGGCGCTGAAGATTATCGCTTGATGGAAAAAGTCTACAGCGATATTCTCAACTTACCTGCGGAGGGTTTCAACGGCGAGAAATATGTCATCACGCTTACTGAAGCCTCTACTCGATACATCTGGACTGGTAATATGACTAATTGTTTCCTTGCCTTCACAGCGTTTCGAACATGGCTGCCTCTCGCAGAACGTGAATCCGACACCAAACTGAAGTCCTTCCACTGTGACGGAGCCGGGGAGTATCGGAGTCTCGAGTTTACGACGTATCTGCAAGACAGAGGCATACGGCGCCCCTTCTCGCTTCCTCACGCTCACCAACAAAGCGGCGTAGCAGAACGCCTCAATCGGACTCTCCAAGAAAAGATGCGAGCTCTGCTCGCCCAATCTCAGCTTGGCCCGCTCTACTGGCCCTTCGCGATGGACCATGCAACATTGTTGCATAATCTTCTGTCTTCCTCGGCTCTACCCAACAACGCATCACCCCACTTACTGTGGACAGGCAAGTTGGGTACTACAAAACGTCTTCGAGGTTTCGGGTGTGTCGTGCAATATCATCCTCCTACCGCTCCGCTCGGAAAATTCGATCAACGTGCTAAGTGGGGCCTTCATCTCGGCCTCGAGAAACAGTTTTCTGCCTGGCGTATCATGGATTATCGTAGTCGCCTCCTGGTTCCTGCCCGTGACTGTATTTTCTACAAAAATCTGACCCTTCCCGTCTTCGAACAACATCTCGCCACGCAGCATGACCCTGCCACTCTTTTCCACGGTGTTCGCTTATTCGCTAGCACCGACGCCGAACCCACTGCCAGCGAAGAACCTGACCTTGACGGTGCACGTGAAGCTGCTCCCGACCCATCTGTCCCAACCACTTATTCTGGATTTCCGGAATTCATTCCTCTCGTCGATGCTCATCCGGAGGACGCTCGCGATGTCCATCATACTTACCTCGTGGACGACCAACGACGTCCCATGCCAGTCGTAACTGACAGCAGCATCCGCGTCGATACTGGCGAAATTGGGGGGGCAAGTGGAGAACAGAGTGAACTTGTCAATTTCGCAGGTCGGACTGATGACAATCCTCATTATCAGACTGGGCTTCAGATACTGGGACTCGCAGCAGATGTACAGCACAACTCTACAGAAGTTGCGGAACCGAAAACTGCCCGACAGGCTCTTTCAGGGCCACATCGCGAAAAATGGCGTGAAGCTATGGATCGTGAACTGGCTGCCCTGGAAAAACGGGAGACTTGGGAGCTCATACCCATCGAAAAAGCCGTAAATAAAAATGTTCTTACCGGAAAGTGGGTATTCGGGGTGAAGACGAAGGCTGATGGTTCTTACGAGAAACATAAGGTGGGTTGTTCGTGGTTTTGACCAAACTCATGGGGTAGACTACACGCTAACTTTCGCCCCGGTCAGCCGACATACAAGTGTTCGTCTCGTCACCTGCGAAGCAGCTGCGAAGAATCTTTCGCTACGACAAATCGATGTTTCAAACGCGTTTCTGTACGCTGACGTCGATGCCGAAATCTACGTCGAATTTCTGCACACCTATCCGACAAACCCGCCAAGTGTCTGCAAGCTCAAGAAGTCACTGTACGGTATCAAACAAGCACCGCGACTGTGGCAGCAGCATTTGAACAGAAAACTGACAGAAGTTGGGTTCCGACAACTGCTGCATGATCCCGGGATGTATCGGCTAGACGACAAGGGGAGTTATGCGCTGCTCGTGGCATACGTGGATGACATTCTCTACGTCAGCTCGTCGGCTTCATTGGGTGATCGCATCGAAGCAGATTTGAAGAAATCTCTCGATTTAACCGTCTCCACCGAAGTGACCCAATTTCTTGGGTTAAACGTTTCGCAAACTTCCTCCGCCATCCATCTCACAGCATCGAAGTATGCTGAGTCACTCGCTAAGCGCTTCAAAATTCCTACAGATTACGTCGCTACACCCTATCGATCTACACCCACCGGGCACGTCCTAAACAACACCAAGCTTTCAGCAGCTGGCCTACAACTAGCCCGGCTTCGTCAATCGCACGAAACATATCTCGCTGCGTTACTTCTTCGTCAAGGATGCGATCGACAAGGGGAGAATGCGCCTTGTCTACTGTCCCACCGGTGACATGGCAGCTGACCCCCTTACCAAGAAACGGACACGTCAGAAATTTCACCACTGCAACCAGCTCAGCGGCGTTTCTGAGGCAACTAGGTGACTACACTGAACTCCTAAAAGTGAAGGGGAGTGTTGAGATAATATCGAGACTTAAGCACTTCAAGGAATTCGTGTAGTACAATTAGTACAGTGCGAGACTTCGCACGTAATAGTAAAGTACTGATAGGCTGACGTCAGCAAGTAGCTGTAGGCCTCGCGAATAGTCACGTACCGTTTCAGAACAGGAATAGCGTGAATAGCACAGTACAATAGGCGAATAGGTACTTTACTCTAGCTATATATTCTGTATGCTTGTCATTGTATAATATACTTGATTTCAGAGAAATTGATCCTGAAACGTATCACTACATAGGCTTTACATACTAGTCCAGACAAAGCCTTCTATATGGGCTTTAACTTATACAAAGACTTCCACTGCAACAGGAAGCTACCATCCTAAGTATACGATCCTATTCAGTCATTACAAATTCTGACATGTTTTACTCATGACATCCGAACACCTTCCCTGTGATCTCGTTCAAACCCTGACCAAACACTAATACCAGTAATTACACAGAGTCCAGCATAAAGGGGTGTGGGCAAAACTTTTCATCGCAACGTAAATCAAATCGCATCATTGTACACTGTTGCAGTGATGCCACGCTTCTTGTCACCACCACCCACCGACCAAACTGATGCGGTGCGTCGGTGTATCACGGTACAGAACTGTACAGTACAGTAACGTACAGTACTTGCGGCCTGCACCACGTCTTGGTTCAACCTTTCTCCCTCCCCCCATCCAAGAAGTCAAATGTCTGTGTAGCTCATTATTGAGAGGACCGTTCTGATCGTACGCAATATTTAACTTTGAAGTTACAGGAAACTATAATACTTATATAGCCCCAGTACATAAGAAACGATATGTATCTCTACCAACATGGGATGGGAGCTGAAGCTGCCCCATTGTGTGTGTGCAACAAGTGCGGGCAGCTGAGAGGAAATCCAATCAGATCACCGTTTGAAGCACTATGCAGGAGTCTGCAGCAGCCCATTTTGGGCAGAACGGACTTACGTACCGTAGCAGTTCAGTTTTGAGACGTCTCAAAAGTAGCAGTTCTCAGGGCAACACACACTAGCAGCAAACGTGGCTTATGTCGGTGCTATCCCAAAAAAACTAAATTTGAGAGTTGAGACAAACTATAAGGCCGGATTCCTTGATGCTGCCACTGCCAGGATAAGCGCAACAGGCATGAGCAACAAGAGCCCATACAACAGCGCATCTCGCATCAACTGCTTATTGCTCTCCTCTTCATCCTCCTGCGTTGCCTTGTAGACGTTATTATACTTGGACCCTTTTGCAAACGCGTCAAAGTATTTCTTGTACCAAGATGAGTCGTAGTCTGAGCCACCTGCGATGCGAAGATTCTCTGCTGCCTGGTACAGCGGCGCATCAAACAATAAAAATCGGAGCAATAGAAATTCAATGCCGCGTAAATACAAGGGTCAGTCTGAGCCCAAACACTGACAGAAGAGGCATTTATTAAGACGCCCTTTGATTATCATCCAATGGCAGCAGACGCAACAGGTAATGCCATAAAACACGAGATAGGGAAATATATATGTACATATATAGATATATTATGTAAAGGTAACTACTATTCGACTCACCTGGAACCCAAAGAGCATCTGACGGGCCTTCCTCTTGACCCCTTCGTTGGGATGCCCTGTCAGCCTCTCGTACATTGCCTTGGCCTCGTCCGACCTGGTTGGGGGGAGGAAAGGTGTGTGTGTGGGTGGGGGAAGGAAGCATGGAGGCAAGCGGCCTTCCTCTTGACCCCTTAGTTGGGATGCCCTGTCAGCCTCTCATACAGCACCTTGGCCTCGTCCGACCTAGTAAGGGTTGGGCGGGGTGGGGGGCAGGGGGGGGGGGGGGGGGGCGATGTGTGTGTGGGTGGGGTAAGGAAGGTAAGTAAGGCCCCTTCATTGGGATGCCCTGTCAGCCTCTCATACAGCGCCTTGGCATCGTCCGACCTGGTTGAGGGGATGGGGGAGGTGGGGGAGGCATGTGTGTGGGTGGGTGGGTGGAGGAAGCATGGAGGTAAGAGGCCTTCCTCTTGACCCCTTCATTGGGATGCCCTGTCAGCCTCTCGTACATGGCCTTGGCCTCGTCCGACCTGGTTGGGGGAGAGACGGGAAGGCATATGTGTATGGATGAAGCATGGAGGCAAAAGGCCTTCCGCTTCACCCCTTCGTTAGGACGCCTTGTCACCGTCTCTTACATGGCCTTGGCAACTGAGAACTCAAATCACAAACCCCAATCACTGGCAACTCTCACTGTGCGAGAAAGACCGAGGCACATCGCCTGCTGAATGGCTGCCCGGTCATGCATCTCGTTCTGGAAGGAGGTGCTTTGAGCTATGAACCAAACCCACACACGGCTGAAACCCAGAACCTTAAAACTAGAAACCCTAATCCCGGCAGCTCTCACCGGGCGAGGGAGTCGAGGCACACAGCTTGCTGAATAGCCGCCCGGCCGTGCATCTCATTCTGGAAGGTCGTTTTGGCCACCACCACGCCAAACTGCTCCAGTGCCTCCCTCAACTTGCCTCTCTCCATCAGCGCTGCTCCCTCCCTCAGCGCCTGGCACAAGCAGGGGGGGAGAGAGAGGTGACAGGGTTGGGGTGGCAGGGAAAGGGAGCTTTGACCCACCCGCCCACCCACCACCACCACCACGCCAAACTGCTCCAGTGCCTCCCTCAACTTGCCCCTCTCCATCATCGCTGCTCCCTCCCTCATCGCCTGTAAGGAGAGATGGTGCAGAGGGAAGGGGGGCATGCGAAGGTTGGGGTATTCATCTCACTGCCTCGGATTCCTCCGCCGTTGCCTCGTCCTCCCCCTCCCCTGTCTCCTCGTCCTCCCCTCCCCCTCCCTGACGCAGCAGCTCGAGAATAACACGAAGGTCGGGGTATTCATCTAACCGCCTCTTTTTGAGTCGACTCAAAAACATCCTCTCCTGCTCGTAACCCTCTTTCATCGTCTCCCCTCCTCCCCTTCTCGCTCTCGTCTACTCTCTTCTGCTCTTGTCTGCTCTCTTCTGCTCTTGTCTGCTTTCTTCTGCTCTCGTCTGCTCTCTTCTCCTCCTTTTCTGCTCTCTTCTGCTCTTGTCTGCTCTCTTCTGCTCTCGTCTGCTCTCTTCTCCTCCTTTTCTGCTCTCTTCTGCTCTATTCTCCTCTCTTCTGCTCTCTTCTGCTCTCTTCTGCTCACCTCCTCGCACTCGGCCTTGACAGCAGGGTCCATCTTAAAGCCCATGCGTCGGTTGTATTCTTCCAGCAGCCGTCGTGTCTTCTCCTCCCTCTCCCGCTTCTCCTCCTCTGTCTCCAGCGCCTCTCCGGGCCTGATGGTGCGCCCTCCGCCATACTGAAGGGCGTTGATGGGGAATCGGGAATGGTGGAGAACGGTGGAGATGTCATCAGAATAGGCGGGACCTAGCACCCTTCAGTCCTCCGTCTCCGGTGCTTCCCCCGGCCTGATGCTGCACCCTTGAGGTGACTTTTGAGTCGACTAAAAAATGCTGCACCCTCCGTTTTGAGACGTCTCAAAACTGCTTCCCCCGGCCTGATGCTGCACCCTTGAGGTGACTTTTGAGTCGACTCAAAAATGCTGCACCCTCTGTTTTGAGACGTCTCAAAACTGCTTCCCCCGGCCTGATGCTGCACCCTTGAGGTGACTTTTGAGTCGACTCAAAAATGCTGCACCCTCCGTTTTGAGACGTCTCAAAACTGCTTCCCCCGGCCTGATGCTGCACCCTTGAGGTGACTTTTGAGTCGACTCAAAAATGCTGCACCCTCCGTTTTGAGACGCCTCAAAACTGCTTCCCCCGGCCTGATGCTGCACCCTTGAGGTGACTTTTGAGTCGACTCAAAAATGCTGCACCCTCCGTTTTGAGACGTCTCAAAACTGCTTCCCCCGGCCTGATGCTGCACCCTTGAGGTGACTTTTGAGTCGACTCAAAAATGCTGCACCCTCCGTTTTGAGACGTCTCAAAACTGCTTCCCCCGGCCTGATGCTGCACCCTTGAGGTGACTTTTGAGTCGACTCAAAAATGCTGCACCCTCCGTTTTGAGACGCCTCAAAACTGCTTCCCCCGGCCTGATGCTGCACCCTTGAGGTGACTTTTGAGTCGACTCAAAAATGCTGCACCCTCCGTTTTGAGACGTCTCAAAACTGCTTCCCCCGGCCTGATGCTGCACCCTTGAGGTGACTTTTGAGTCGATTCAAAAATGCTGCACCCTCCGTTTTGAGACGTCTCAAAACTGCTTCCCCCGGCCTGATGCTGCACCCTTGAGGTGACTTTTGAGTCGACTCAAAAATGCTGCACCCTCCGTTTTGAGACGTCTCAAAACTGCTTCCCCCGGCCTGATGCTGCACCCTTGAGGTGACTTTTGAGTCGACTCAAAAATGCTGCACCCTCCGTTTTGAGACGTCTCAAAACTGCTTCCCCCGGCCTGATGCTGCACCCTTGAGGTGACTTTTGAGTCGACTAAAAAATGCTGCACCCTCCGTTTTGAGACGTCTCAAAACTGCTTCCCCCGGCCTGATGCTGCACCCTCCGCCATACTGAAGAGGGAGACAGGGAGAAGGGGAGAGATGGAGAGAGGGGGAGGCAAAGGGGTTGTAGGGAATGGGAACGGTGGAGAACGGTGGAAATGACATCAGCAAAGGTTCCTTGCACCCTTCAGTGGTTGTCCTCCTCTAGCACCCATCGTGTCGTCTCTTCTCCTCCCTCTCCCGCTTTTCTTCTTCTGTCTCTAGCGCCTCCCCAGGCCTGATGGTGCGCCCACCCCCATACTGAAAGGGGAGAACGGTTGATGGGGAAGAGGGGTGGAGAACGGTGGAGACGGCATCAGCAATAGTGGGATCCCTATAACCTAACAGCCTTCGTGTCTTCTCCTCCCTCTCCCCTTCTCCTCCTCTGTCTCCAGCGCCTCTCCAGGCCTGATGGTGCGCCCTCCGCCGTACTGAAAGGGCAGATGGGGAGAAGGGGAGGAAGGTTGATGGAGAAGAGGGGTGGAGAACGGTGGAAGTGGCATCTTCTCTTCCCTCTCCCTCTCCCCTGCCTCTCTCTCCAGTCGGGGTGATAAAGAAAATCATTCTGTCAAGTTCCATACCCCCCCCCTTCCCCCTCCCCCCAACCTCTTTCCCCCCCTCCTCCCCTCCACCCTCCGCCCCCTCTCACCATTCTCGAGACGTCTCTATTCCTCTCCCTCCCTCTTTCGAACTCGAGATGTCCCTAAGGTGACTTCTGAGTCGCTAACTCAGTCAAGGTATATGGAACAACAGCAAAGCATTGTGTCAAGTTCCCCCCTCCTCGTCCACCTCCCCTCTCCCTCTCACTCGCTCTCAACGTTCTCGAGATGTCTCTCGCCCTCGGAAACACCCCCCATATGTCGCATCCTCCCCACCCTCTCCCCCCTTCCCTTAACCTCAACTTCCTCCTTCCCCCTCCCCCACCTCTCCCCTTCTCACAGTTCTCGAGATGTCTCTCGCCCTCGGGAATACCCCCCATGTCGCTACCGTAGAAGAGGTGATTAAATAAGAAATTTACTCACCTCAACTTCCTCCTCCTTCCCCCCCCCCGACCCTCTCCCTCCTGCTCACCGTTCTCGAGATGTCTCTCGGCCTCGGGAATACCCCCCACGTGGCAACCTTAGGCTTATACTCGCTCTCCGCTCCCCCCGCTCCCCCTTCCCCCTCCCCCTGCGCCCCCCCCTGCCGCTGCTCCCCCGGGACCTCCCCCCTCTTTGTAATCACACGCGACCCGACTATCATCTCCACTTGTGGCAGACTCCCAGCTGACGTGGACGGATCGAAATCCACGTCAGCCTGCAGGCCAGCTGGCAGCGGCCCCTTCCCGCGCCCCTGCTGCTTCTCCCGCTCCTCCTGAAACCCTAATCCCAGGAAATCCGCGCCGGAAACCGACAGAGTCGACGCGCCGCGCGCGCGCGCCCCGGCTACCCCGGGATTCCCCATCATTCCGCCACCAATCCCGCCGCCAATTCCGCCGCCGATTCCGCCGGGTCTGGCGCTCTTGCCGCCGGTTGACCCTCCCCACTCCATCTCGGACCGCTTAGTCCGCCGCTTAATCACTCCGTCCCTCGTTACAATCTCCACCTCGATAATATCCTTATCGTCCTCCTCCTCCTCCTTTCCCTTCGCCTTCCCCTTCCCCTCCTCGCCTCCCTGTTGCTGCTGCGCTTTCCCCTGCTCTGCTTTGCGCGCTGCCAGAGCTGCCGCCATTTCCGCCACCTGATCCGCGTACGAACGTACGCCGCTGCTGGTAGGGTTACCACTACTGGTCGGGTTACTGGTGGTGCTGCTTGTAGTGCTACCACTGGTTTCACTGCTGGTAACAGCAGCAGCGGTGCCGCCATTGCTGCTGCTTGAAGGGTTACTACCGCCGGAAGCGGTAGCGTTGCTGTCAGCAGTCGTTGCTGTCGCGATTGCGGTCGCTCCTGACTGCTGCTGCTGCTGCCTCTTCGCCTTATACGCCAATGCGCGTTCCAGCGCCGATTGAGCTGCGTTGCCGCTGCTACTGCCTGCATCTCCGCCGTTTCCTCCGCCGGGTTTGTCGGCGGCTGCTTCGCTTTTTCCACTTGCAGCATCCCTAATGGCCTTTAATGCACTTTCGCCGGGTGTCTGCGCGTCGCCAGATCGCGATGCGCGTATCAAGAAACGCCTGCTATTACGAGGAAGCTTCGACGCAGCTGCATTGTCGCTGCGTGCATTCCTGCTGCGCAAGCGCGGGTGGTTGGACGAACCCCATGATGGTGTTACCGAGTAACGGACAGACGCAGATTCGCGATAACGATTTTGACGTGACGAAGTTTGGCGAAACACATCTGAGCGAAACGAGTAGGTGGCGCAGTGGGGATGCTGTGCTTGCACGACGAGCATCTTCCAAAACCCACTCGGCGCTACCGAGGAGTTCCACGTGGACAGCTATTGGTTTGATTACTGGCCTTTCGATTGGTTCTTGCCGCTTGTGAAACACGTGCGAATTCGCAAACTTTTTATCGAAAGCCAGACAAACCGCCATGCAATTGACAGCACAATAGCAGGAGATACTGCCTCAAAACTGCCTCAAACTTCCTAACTTTGGTTGGGTGTGACCCAGTAGATACTGACTCGAACTTCGAAAACCTTCGGGAACATTTTCGCTAGGCGAAATTGTCGAGCGATAGCAGTGAGGATTTCGTAAACAACTTTCGCGCCCATCCGAAACTATTTGCGAACGCATTTTGACGTTGCATTCCAGATCTGGTTACACTCGCGAGGTTTTCATACTTTACGACCCACAACCACCGATTTCGACAATACCCTGGTTCGCGAGCCAGTAACGTTTCTTGCCCCTAGCAACCTTCCTAACTTGCTTGGACCCCTGGTTTTAACGAGAAAACTAGTATGTGATACTTTCAGTGCTTTCAACAGACTAACTTGCTCGCGAATCGCGACAGGCTTCTAAGATTCATGCACACAGCTGGTTCCTAGACTCTAGGACAAGTCAATGTCAAAACTTCTCGGAGAAAACTGGTCCGCGACACGTCCACTAATGAGTCATGCTGGGAGTGGTAATTCGAATGACGTGGCGCTTATTGAGGACTTCGTGAATTTGAGTCGTGAGATGATTGGAGCGCGTTGAGAGGTACCACGCTGGAGGCTGGTATTGGCTCCGGCAATAGTGGAGATCGATCACAAGGAACAAAGAGCAGAACGCAAATTGTCTGTTCACAAACAGATTCGTTCTTCACACATAACAACTGAATCTGTTTCGTGAAAGAACAAGTATGGTGCCTGCAAGATGAAGGAACCTTAAATTTTAAAGAAAAACATCTAATGTCTTTTTTAGTATATATGCACAAAAACTTTGATATGTATTTTAGACGGAATAAGATGCTGCATCTACAACGAAGGAACCTTCAATAAAGGACATTCTAACTAATGCACCTGCAACTAACCATATTATGTATCACAACGATCGCTCTCTACATGTGTACGATTCATTGCCAATATGATTCTTATGAAGACTCTTCAAGAGGAAGTTGCACTGTCACCTTCTCACCATTTCTCAATAACTGAAGCGACACAGTTTGACCCGCTGACAGGTCATCCAAGGCCTTGTCCACATCAGCAGCCATTTTCACCTGTACGTACGGTACATTAAAGGATTTATTGCACGGGGGTTCAACATGGAGAGAGACGGGTGAGTGGCAATCGACATAGCGAATCAACAAGAAGCCAACAAATAAATCAACCAATGCAGTACAGCCAAAGATTATACTTTTATAGTTCACATACAATAGATTGATCAATGGCTTCAATCATAATGCTATAAATCACTTACAGTGTATTGGTCAATCGCCACAATCACATCTCCCAGCACAATATTGCCTGCGAAGCCTCTCCTGGTTGCCGTCACTCCTGCCTTGGCTGCTGCTGACCCTGGCTTCACCTAGAGGAGGGGAAACAGAGGGGAAAGGGGAAGAAAGGGAAGGGAAGAGAGGTTGGTGAGGGGGAAAGGGGAAGAAGGGGGAGATGGAATATTAGAATGGCAATGGTATGGGTAAGGGGTAAGGTAGGAGGCAGATTGAAAGCATAGTACCATGGTATGTCCACCATTTGCCAAGCCGAGACCATGCACGCACGATCTGCCATGTGCCATGCACCATGCACCATGCGCCATGTGCCATGCTCCATGCACCATGCACCATGCACCATGCATTATGAAACATGCTCCATGCTCCATGCTCCATGCACCATGCACCATGCACCATGCCCCATGCACCATGCACCATGCACCATGCATTATGATATGAACCATGCTTCATGCTCCATGCTTCATGCACCATGCACCATGCACCATGCCCCATGCACCATGCGCCATGCGCCATGCACCATGCGCCATGCGCCATGCACCATGCACCATGCAACATGCACAATGCACCATGCATTATGAACCATGCCCCATGCACCATGCAACATGCTCCATGCTCCATGCACCATGCTCCATGCACCATGCACCATGCACCATGCACCATGCACCATGCTCCATGCACCATGCACCATGCACCATGCCCCATGCACCATGCGCCATGTGCCATGCACCATGTACCATGCACCATGCACCATGCTCCATGCTCCATGCTCCATGCTCCATGCACCATGCTCCATGCACCATGCACCATGCACCATGCACCATGCACCATGCTCCATGCACCATGCACCATGCCCCATGCACCATGCGCCATGTGCCATGCACCATGTACCATGCACCATGCACCATGCACCATGCACCATGCACCATGCACCATGCGCCATGCGCCATGCACCATGCGCCATGCGCCATGCACCATGCACCATGCAACATGCACCATGCACCATGCATTATGAACCATGCCCCATGCACCATGCAACATGCTCCATGCTCCATGCACCATGCTCCATGCACCATGCACCATGCACCATGCACCATGCTCCATGCACCATGCACCATGCACCATGCCCCATGCACCATGCGCCATGTGCCATGCACCATGTACCATGCACCATGCACCATGCTCCATGCTCCATGCTCCATGCTCCATGCACCATGCTCCATGCACCATGCACCATGCACCATGCACCATGCACCATGCTCCATGCACCATGCCCCATGCACCATGCGCCATGTGCCATGCGCCATGTGCCATGCACCATGCACCATGCACCATGCACCATGCTCCATGCTCCATGCTCCATGCACCATGCTCCATGCACCATGCATGATGGCAATGCGAACTCACAAGTAGCAGCTAGCCATTCATACCATTGAAGCACACGCACGTCTCACTCACCATCAGAGGCCCTTAACCACACACTCCACCCCACACTCACCCCACACTCATCCCACACTCACCTCACTCACCCCACACTCACCCCACACTCCACTCCACACACTCACCTCACACTCACCCCACACACTCTCACACTCACCCCCACACTCACTCACCCCGAACACCAGCGCCCCTGCTGCCACACCCAGCTGCCTGGCAATGCCACCACCATGCACCATGCCGCATGCTCACTCACTCCCCCCACACTCCCCACACACTCCCCACACCCGCACACTCCAGTCCACACACTCCCACACTCACCCCAAGAACCAGCGCCCCTGCTGCCGCGCCCAGCTGCCTGGCAATGCCATCAGCTGCAAGCTGCATGTTCAGCGTGGGACGGATCACCTGGGAATTGGAACAGGGCATGGGCACGGGAGTGGGAGCACGAGTGAGTGAAGCAGCACTATCTATCCCACCAGCACGAGTGAGTGAAGCAGCAGCTCGATAGACCTTGCTGCTGCTACACCCAGCTGCCTGGCAATGCCATCAGCAGCCAGATGCATGTTGAGAGTGGGGCGAATGACCTGGTGGGCATTGGAACGGGGGTGGAGATGGGAATGGGAATGGGAGTGGGTTTGGGGATGAAACAGAGAGGGTAACAACGCGAGCTGCTCTCTCATGCCCAGCTGCCTGCCTGGCAATGCCATCAGCAGCCAGATGCACGTTGAGAGTGGGGCGAATGACCTGGTGGGAACACATGGGTGTGAGGACGCCAATGAGAACGAGATGGGGATGGGGAATCCCAAAGCGTGGGAGGAAGAGCAATCGCATATGCTTTTGTTTTTGATGCGAAAACGTAAGGAGAATTTTTGAGTCGACTCAAAAATCACCTTATCACATAAGGAGAATTTAGGTCAGTCATTGATGAATGGACAACTGCCGAATTCGATTCGATCTTACATAAATATTAATAAGGTTGTTCTATTGTGGCACACTTAGCCACACTTAGCCTTACAACCACATGCTTAGAATGTCCCACTCACCCTCCTGAAATTCCCGTACCGAAGTGACTCAGCTTCCCATACAATTATTTGAAGTAGCTCACCTTCCCATACTGGATGATTTGAGAAACCACGCGTGCCACTACCGATACAGGGAGGGAGAGTTCTGAGTCGACTCAAAACTCACCTCCTGCGAAAGTGGTAAAGTTCACTTTGCTGAGAAGGGTGACGGTAGCTCACCTTCCCATACTGGATGATTTGGGGAACCACGCATGCCACCACTGACACAGGAATGGTAAAGCCCACACTGCCACCCACCGTCCCTTTCCAATCCCTGTAAGGAAGTGACCCCCCCTGCCATACTACACTGATTCCACACCACTCACCTTGCCATACTGAATGATCTGGGGAACCACGCGTGCCACCACTGATACAGGAATGGCGAAGCCCACGCCAGCAGATGTGCCGGTGTTGGTGTAAATGGCTGTGTTGATTCCGATGAGCCTGCCAGCAGAGTCGAGCAGAGGGCCACCACTGTTGGGGGGAGGCAGGGGAGGGGGGAAAGGGAAGGGGAGTGGTGGAGAGGTGAGGATAGGAAAGACATGTGAGAACACAAGAACAATCACACAAGCGCACACACACACACACACACCCACCCACGCACCCGCACACGCACGCACGCACACACACACATACTCATACTAGCTAGATTGTTTTAACAATTGCACACACAAAAGCACACAAACACTCAGGCACGCACAGCCACACACGCGCACCCACACATGCGCACCCACACACGCACACCCACACACGCACACCCACACACGCACACCCACACACGCACACCCACACACGCACACCCACACACGCACTCCCACACACACACACCCACACACGCACACCCACACACCCACACACGCACACCCACCCACGCACACGCACACATGCACACCCACACACGCACACCCACACACCCACACACACACACCCACACACGCACACCCACACATGCACCCACACACGACATGGCTATTCCTGCAAAAAGCACACTCGCCTGTTTTGGGGTTGATGGCTGCGTCTGTCTGTGGTGATGCCAAGAGTCGACTCAAAAGTCAGCACGCACACTCACACACACGCACATTTATACTAAGCGAATCAACCATAGAAGCACTCTCAGACACAAGCCCAACCCACACTCGCCTGTTGCCGGGGTTGATGGCTGCATCTGTCTGCACACCCCCTGCGATCACCACGCCTGCTGCGCTGTAGATGTCGCGATTTACCCCACTCAGCACCCCCGCTGTCAGCGTGTGATCGAAGCCAAACGGGTTGCCGATGGCGTATGATCGCTGCCCCACCCGCAGGGAGGAGGAATCGCCCAAGGGTAGAGGGCGGAGGAGGTTGGGAGGGGCAGAGACCTGGGGGGGACGGGGATGGGGAAGAACGGGGGAATGGGGAGAAGGAAAGCAAATGATGGGTGAATGGGACGGGTAAGTGGGGAAGCATGGCGTGAGGTCGAAGCCAGAGGGGTTTCCGATGGCGTACGAGCGTTGCCCCACTCGCAGAGAGGATTCGCTGAGAGGGAGCGGTTGGAGGAGGTTGGGAGGGGGTAGAGACCTGGTGGGTCGGGAGAAAATGGAAGGGAATCACAGTGTGTGATTTGGGATCCGAAAGGATAGGAAAGAAAAGTTGACCCGAGAGTCCCTCAGGTGACCAAAGAGGGAATTGCAAAGGGAAGAAGGTGGAGGAGAGACAATATGAGGGAGAGAAAGGAGGAGGGGGATGATGTTCAAGAGCACTTGGTGCAATAAATTGTTCTGAGTGGTACTGCAAGTCACAGACATTGTTGAAGGAGCACTGGTATCGGCCTAAGTTTTTTGAAAAGGGTTACAGATAAAGATGGTCTGAAAGGTACTGGGGACGACCACCCAAAAAAGTAATTACTTTCTTAGCTCAGTGATCAACGGCTTAAAATATCGGCATGGTATCAGAGCCAAAGGTCGCGGGTTCAAATACCAGTGTGGTGCACCATGGAAAAAAAAAAAAAACAATCCTAGTTCTACCACTACGAAGGGGAACGTTAAAAGAGCACTAGAATCTTCCTATAAGGACTTGGAAAGGGTTGTGGGCAAGGATGGGTTGAGGAGTTATGGGTCCACTCACCCGCTCTGGAACACAAGCCTTTTTAGCCCAGTGGTTAGCAATAGAGTTGTTCCAACATTTTTTACCTCACTAAGGATCAGACACTTTAGATGATTGTCTCACCTTGAGAACTGCCAGGTCCTTGGTTCGATCAGCCCCCACCAGCACTATTGACTAAGCTACCCAGAATACGTCAGTAAGCTTATGACCTTTTAGGTATCTGGCTGCCTCACCTTGAGAACTGCAAGGTCCTTGGTCCGGTCAGCCCCCACCAGCACTCCCTCCAGATTGCGCTGAAAGCTGGTGTAAAAGGAGGGATGGATGGGGAAGAAGAGGAGAGGAGTGAAGAGAAGAGAAGAGAAGAGGAGAGGAGTAGTTTTGAGGTGCCTAGGGGAGAGTAACGAGAGGAGAGGGATGAGAGACGAGAATGATAAGGATGAGGAGAACTAAGGACATGAGAAATGATGATGGTCCAATCAACTCACTCCAACAATCCCTCTTGATTGCACTGAAAGGTGGCGGAGAGGGGAGGGGAGAAGGGGAGCAAGGAAGATGAGAACCATGAGAAATGAAGGAGAAGGGAGTGGGAGGGATGCAGGGAAAATTGGAAGCGAGGGTGCGAGGGAGAGTAGGTGGGGGGGGGATGGGGTGAGGAGGTGAGGACGAGACCACTTCACTCCACTGTACCACACCGCACCGCACTCAACACATTGATCCAACCATGAAAAAGAAACTCCGGCCATGTTTTTTCCAACAAGGGGAGTTTGTTCATCCCCAGAGCACCCCTTCCCAACCAACCACGTGGTAGTTGGTAACCATGCAACCATCACTGCTTCACACCACACTCCACCGCTCCACACTCCTCTAAAGCACACCATACTCACCCTTGCACTGCGCACCTACCTGTTTTTACCCAGCAGGGTAACCCGAGTCACGATTTACTTTCCAGACAGAAGGTTCTGTGAGAGTGCACTCTCCCAACTGGTAACAATGTTACAATGTTAACAATGTTACCACTTCACTCTACCGCACCTCACCCACACTCACCGCACTCAACCCACCCGTCTGTCCCGAGCAGGGTGACTCTGGCGATAGTCCTTCCAGCATGGTAACTGGTAACAATGTTACCACTTCACTCTACCGCACCTCACCCACACTCACCGCACTCAACCCACCCGTCTGTCCCGAGCAGGGTGACTCTGGCGATAGTCCTTCCAGCAGGGGGGTTTTGCGAGAGTGCACTCCCGACCACGTGGTAGTTGGTGACAATGTAACCGTCGCTGTTCCACATCACGCCCGACCCGTTCCCCTCAGGCACCTCCACCTGCCCCGTGGTGTTCATGCTGGGCCTTAGAGTCACATCGAATATATTGACGACCGAGTAGGTGGTTCGTTCGAACAGAGCCACCGTTGCTTCCTGTGGTGGTAGTAGGGTAGGGAGGAAAAGGAAGGGAGGTCACATGATTTGAATCGCATTCATCCACTCCGTTCCCCTCAGGCACCTCTACCTGCCCCGTGCTGTACATGCTGGACCTTAGAGTGACGTCGAATATATTGACCACTGAATCAGTAGTGAGTTCGAACAGAGCCACCGTTGCTTCCTGTGTGTGAAGCAGAGAGGGGAGAGGTGAGGGAGGTAGGGAGGGAGGGAGGGAGGTCAGAAGAGTACGAGGAAAACAACCCCATAACCACTCATCCGCCCTGTTCCCCTCAGGCACCTCCACCTGCCCCGTGCTGTTCATGCTGGGGCGCAGAGTCACATCGAATATATTGACGACCGAGTAGGTGGTTCGTTCGAACAGAGCCACTGTTGCTTCCTGTGCAAAAGGAAAGGAGTTGGAGGGAGGTGGCCAGCGAGCACGGGGGAAAATAGACTCAAAAAGGGTGGTCACAGGGACAGCTGGTCAGAGCGAGGTCCCTGTGGGTTTCCTTGTGAGTGTTTGTATCACGTTGGATACACTCACTCTCACTCACTCCCACTTCTACGCTCACTCACACTCACTCACTCCCACTTCTACACTCACTCACTCTGTCACTCCCTCTTCTACCCCTCCAACACTCCCCTCCCCTCACCTCAGCAGCAGGAAGCTTCCCAGCGGGCGTGACGTCACGGGTGACGTCAGCAATGGTGACTGAAGGATCGCCGAGGGCCGGGACTGGCAATCAGGGGAGGTGGTGGAGGGTGATGGGGGGTGTGGGGGGAGCGGGGAGGGGGTGGGAGCGGGGGGTGTGGAAGGGGGGGGAGATAGGATACAGCAACACGTGGTGGGTTTGCAGGGGGCGGCAGGTGGGCGGAGGAGGAGAGGGGGGAAGGGAGGGGAGGGGGGAGGTGTGAGGGGGAGATGAGAAGGAGACGAGGGGAGGGGATATTGGAAGGATATGGTAGCATTTGTAAGAGCCCAAAAAATATGGGGGCAGAGAGGCGGGTCAAATATGGGGGCAGAGAGGCGGGTCAAATATGTGGGCAGAGAGGCAGGTCAAATATGTGGGCAGAGAGGCAGGTCAAATATGTGGGCAGAGAGGCAGGTCAAATATGTGGGCAGAGAGGCAGGTCAAATATGTGGGCAGAGAGGCAGGTCAAATATGTGGGCAGAGAGGCAGGTCAAATATGTGGGCAGAGAGGCAGGTCAAATATGTGGGCAGAGAGGCAGGTCAAATATGTGGGCAGAGAGGCAGGTCAAATATGTGGGCAGAGAGGCAGGTCAAATATGTGGGCAGAGAGGCAGGTCAAATATGTGGGCAGAGAGGCAGGTCAAATATGTGGGCAGAGAGGCAGGTCAAATATGTGGGCAGAGAGGCAGGTCAAATATGTGGGCAGAGAGGCAGGTCAAATATGTGGGCAGAGAGGCAGGTCAAATATGTCTAAACCCTGCGGGAGGGAGCAGCGGGGGGGGATGGGGGGAGAATGTTCTCACCTCCAGGAGCAGGGGGCGTGAGCAGGGCGCTGGAGAGGGGAAGGGAGGACGTAAGGAGGGCATGGGAAAGGAGAAGTGGCATCATACTCTAAACACCTGGGGGAGCAGGGAGGGGGGTGTCACCTGCGGGGGAAGGGGGAGGGGGGAAGGTGCTCACCTGCAGGGGAAGGGGGATGGGGGAACGTGCTCACCTGCGTGGGAAGGGGGATGGGGGAACGTGCTCACCTGCGGGAGAAGGGGGAGGGGGGAACGTGCTCACCTGCTGGAGAAGGGGGAGGGGGGAACGTGCTCACTGCGGGAGAAGGGGGAGGGGGGAACGTGCTCACCTGCGGGAGCAGGGGCCGGGGGGAATGGTCTCACCTGCGGGAGCAGGGGGCGCGAGCAGGGCGATGGAGAGGGGGAGGGTGGACGAGAGGAGCGCTCGTCTGCGGATGGGGGAGGGGAATGGAAAAGGGGATGGTGCGGGGAGAAGCGGGAATGGATAAGCGCCTTGGAAGAGTGAACTCTCGGGGAACATGCGCACGTGTGCCTCAAAACTCCGCCAGATTTTCCGCCTGATTTTTCTCCGCCTGATTTTTATCCGCCTGATATTTCTCCGACTGATTTTTCTCCGCCTGATTTCCCTCCGCCCCGCCACAAATTTCAGGCGCAGGCCCCCGCTATCCTCCGGCCCCACCTCGTCACGCCGAGTCCCCCTTGTTCCGCCAAGTCCGCGCAATTTCCGCGCGCATCACTCTCCGCGCGGCGGGAATCCGCCCGCACTCCGCGAACCCGGTTCGGTGGCGGATTGCGCACATGCCGTTCCGCCCCGCCTGCGCCCGCGGGTCTGCGCAGCAGCGGCCGCGCGTCTGGGCGCAGCCATGAGGAAGCAAGCGCGGCGCAGGGCGGATGGCGGAGCGCTGCCATTGGCGGAAGCGGAAGTGAAGAATCGCGGAAGGTCTGCTAGGGGAGGCGGAGAACCTTCCGCGGGAATCTTTCACAAAGTGATGGAACAGAAGGCTGACTGATTGAACGAAAGTTCTCAGAATGCGTTTGAATGCGGCAGAGTGGCTTGTTTTACGTTCTATGACGGTCAAATAGGACCCGACAACGGTTGGGAAGGATATTATTTGAAACCAGTGTTGGGCGGCTTCAGATTGATATTGACGGCGATCGCGGCTGGAAGGAATGTTTCGTTCAGACTCGGTAATTTCGTTTCGCTACAAAGACGGTTCGGTCTAAAGACTTCACTTTGACACATTGCAGACCCCGTTAAAATCTTACGAAGGTGATTGGAAAAAAGAAACTGAAAAAATGTATTAAGATCTCTGCACATTAAGGCCTTCTCTTACTTTGCGAACTCTTCGTATTAACTTTCTCCCTACTAACGAGGCATGTATGCCGTGATAATATGAAATGCTTCTTTGTACAACAAAGACTAACACAATCTATTTTCAAACTTTTGCTTGTCCCCCAATGGTGGGACTCACAATGTTTGCACATTAAAACTTTGGCGTTTTAAAAACCTCCTCCCATATATCTGCAAACAATGCAGTCGATAAATACCTTTCGCCAAAACTTGGCAGAATGGCCTGCAACACAACATGACGAAAAAAGAGGCAAAGAGTTTTGATTGAAAGCGACGGTAACACTGGAGTACGGAGAACGGTGTAGAAGGGGTGTGCGGGAGAGTAGGGGAGGGTTCGTTTGGGGAGGTTAATGGGGGTGAGAATGGGAGGGTGGAAGGGGGAGGTGAGGGGGAAGAGAAGGGTATTGGGTTGGATTGGAAGGAAGATGTACCACCATTGATTGCAGAAAAGGGTGGAAGGGGGAGGTGAGGGGGGGAAAGAGAAGGGTGCCAGGCTGGACGGAAGACGTACCACCACCATTTTCCCAGCGTATTCAGGCCGCTTTGCAACATTGATCGCAGCAACCACCGCTGCACCAGACGATATGCCCACCTGCGATCCCAAGGCATGGCAATAATGAAAAGACAGAAGCTGGGGAATCTTTGGAAGATAGAAATGCTACGAGGGAATGGAAGCATGGGGGGGAACAGTAAAATCCAAACGCCAGATTTGGATATATGTAAAGCCCATCAATCTTTAGGGTTCAGACTGGGATTTGCAATTGAAGAGGATATTGCATTGCTTAGTGTAATTGGCAGCAGATTTCAAGATAATGTGTGTGCGTGTTGGACGCAAGGAAAAGCGGTTGCACAACAGGTGTGTATCAAGTTACAACCCACCAGCATGCCCTCCTTGAGCGCCAGCTGGCGCGCCATTTGGATTGCGTCATCGCTGCTGACCTGGCAGAGGGTACGGGTGGAGGGAGGGAAGACATGATGTCATCATGAGCAGGAAAGTCATGGTATACCCTTTTGATGACATCAGCACGACTATGACACATCATTGCTCACCGTTTTGACCACAGCGCTGGCCATGTGCTGACATCAACAAGCACTGTGATGCCATCAGCACCCACTGATCTGACCTCAGCACTCGGCACCCACCGTAGTTACATCAGCACTCACCACGATGACATCAGCATGCATCGTGATGACATTGGCACCCGTCGTGGTGACATCAGCACCCACCATAATGACATCAGCACCTAATGTGATGACATCAGCATCCGTCGTGATGACATCAACATTCGTCGTGATGACATCAACATCCGTCGTGATGACATCAGCACCAACCGCGGTGACATCAGCACACATCAGCACTCACCGCGACGACCTCATCCAGCATGCTCTCATCCAAAATGGAGGTGGTGTCATGTAGTGCGGTGTAGTGTGGTGTAGTGTGGTGCGGTGTGGTGCGGTGTGGTGCGGTGTGGTGCGGTGTGGTGCGGTGTGGTGCGGTGAGGTGCGGTGTGGTGCGGTATGGTGCGGTGTGGTGTGGTGATATCCACATTCACTCACCGCGATGACCTCATCCAGCATGCTCTCATCCAGAATGGCGGTTGTGCAATGTGGTGTGGTGTGGTGCCATGTGGTGTGGTGTGGTGCCATGTGGTGTGGTGTGGTGACATCAGCACTCACCGCGATGACCTCATCCAGCATGCTCTCATCCAGAATGCTCGGAATGAAGCCCGGTCCGATGCCCTGGATCATGTGCGGTCCTGCATGGAGTGGTGCGGTGGGGCATGGTATGGTTTGGTGGGGCATGGTGTGGCGTGGTACGGTGTGGCGTATGGTCATGCTTTAGTGGCTTCAGGCCCATTTATGCATAAAAAAACGCCCACGTTATTGACCATTGCTTTGTCAACTGGGTATCCACCTGATAGGTTCTCACCTGGATGTCCACCTGACAGGATGTTTGACTCCTCAGGTTCCACTGCAATGATCTGTCATGCATGCGACATGGGAATTATGGGATGATGGGATGATGGGATGATGGGACGACAATCAAACACCTGATGGCTCTGCTTTTGAGTCGACTCAAAAACGGGAATTATGGGATGACAATCACACTGCTGATGGCTCTGGTGTATGGCGGTGTGATTGTATGGCATGTGATTGTATGGCGGTGGGATTGTATGGCATGTGATTGTATGGCGGTGGGATTGTATAGCATGTGGTTGTATGACAGTATATAAAAGAAGAATCACTCATTTTTCTATCAGTGACTTTCATAACTCACCTTGACTCTTGGCTTTCGCTTTTGAGAAACTGCCCCACGCCCATGGCTGTGCTACCAGTGGCAACACCGCACACCACCTCACCACACACCTGCCCTACCCATACCCTCCAGACCCCCCCTTGGCACGACACCCCTCCTCACATTGACACTCGGCTTTTTCTTTTAAGAAATTGGCCCACGCCCATGGCTGTGCTGCCGGTGCTGATACCACACACCACCGCACCACAAACTTTCCCACACCGCCCTGAACCCCCCTATCACACCTGTCCTGCCAGCCCAAGGCCTTCCTCACCTTGACGCTCCGCTTTTCGCTCTTGATATACTGCTCCACGCCCATGGGTTTGCCACCAGTGTGATACCGCACACCACCTCAGCACACACCTACCCATCCCCTCCAGTCCAACACCCCCGCTCACCATGACCCTCGGCTTCTTGCCTTTAAGATAGCGCCTTATGCCCAAGGACATGCCACCAAAGCCAACACCGCACACCATCGCACCACACACCTGCCCATCACCTCTAGATCCCACTTGTGCTGCCGGTACAACACCCCCCAGCCTCACCTTGAGGCTGGGCTTTTTGCTCTTGAGATACTGACGCACGCCCATGGCTGTGCAGTGCAGCCGGTGCCGATACCGCACATCACCGCACACCACTGCACACCACACACCTGCCCATCCCCTCCAGCACTACTACACCCAAACTCACCTTGAGGCTGGGCTTTTTGCTCTTGAGATATTGGCCCACGCCCATGGCAGTGCCACCAGAGCCAATATCGCACACCACGAAACCACACACCTGCCCATCCCCTCCAGCACTACTACACCCAGCCTCACCTTGACGCTCGGCTTCTTGCTCTTGAGATATTGGCCCACGCCCATGGAAGTACCACCAGTGCCAATACCGCACACCACCGCATCAACACGCCCCTCCGTGTCCTCCCAGATCTCCCTCCCCGTCGTCTCAAAGTGAATCTGTGGCGGATGGAATGAGAGGAGGGGTTTGAGTGGCAAGTGGCAGCGGCCCAAGGGCCGATGAGTTAGAGGAGAAGAAACAGGCAAGTCCAAACGGCCCCTCCGTGTCCTCCCAGATCTCCTCCCTATCGTCTCAAAGTGAATCTCAGAAAGATGGAACGAGAGAAGGGGTTTACTTTTGAGGCGCCTCAAAAGTAGAGATGATAGGAGGGTTGAATGGGTGGCAATCATGTCAACGAGGTGCAGCAAGCACACGGGAAAAACAAGGTTATTATCGGTTGTAGAGATAACAAGGACAAGAAGATGTTAAGCTGTTTTGTGGCGACGGGTTTTACTTGTTATTGCACAATGGTATTCAATCACATTCGAGCTCCAGTATTGTTCACGAAGAGCTCCAGTAAGCTCCAGTACTGGAGCAACGAACAAAATCGTTTTCTGCAATTGCTTTCATGGTGCTCCATCTTTCATGGTGCTCCATCTTTCATGGTGCTCCATCTTTCACGAATTTGAAGAAGAAAAAACACTTCCAAAGCCAGAACAAATACGCTCCCAATCGGCCTCGGCGTTTGCCACCCAACTCGGTGTTTGCTTCCGCCCACCTCGTTATTCGCCGCCCACCTTGGTGTTGGCCTCGTTCTCAAACTGCTGCGGCATGAAGGCATGCTTGGAGTGGCTTACGATCTCCTTGGCCTTAATGATGGCTCCCCGCATGCCCTGCCGTCAAACACGTGAAGTCAAGCAGGGTGTGAATGGTGAGACTTTCCGGTCAATGTCGCCAACAGACTTTTCCGGTCGACGCAACAAGTGGCCCACAATCTCCTTGGGCCGGATGATGGTTCTCCGCATGCCCTGCCGTCAAACACGTAGTCAATTCACATCAAGAAGGGTGATATGATACGACAGCATGATTTTTTGGTTTTGATTTAAGAGGCAGCACCATGAAGGCGTGCTTGGAGTGGCTCACATCACAATCTCCTTGGCCTGAATGATAGCTCCCCTCATGCCCTGCTGTTCAGAAGGGTGTGGTTTGGTTGCCACAACGATGTGAGTTGATGCAAAACCGGCTCAAGTTCTCCTTGGCCCGATTTTGAGGCGCCTCAGAAGGGTGTGGTTTGGTTGCCACAACGATTTGAGTTGATGCGAAACTGGCTTCTCCTTGACCCGAATGACAACTCTTTTCCTTGGCCCTGGCACGGCGCACAGAGTAGTCATGTCATGAGGGCACGAAAGGAGCTCGCACAACAGCAAAAGTGACATGAGGGGGAGTGGAAATCAAACGGGTCAAGCATTGGGATAGAGGCAACGAGAGAGGATCTGAAGGACGTTTGGGTCAACTCAAAAGGACGGCTCAAATGATAAAGGCTCTAACACCGTGCCGATTTCCCAAGACACCGGCCTACTCAACACGGTGTTGCGTGAAATTCAAAAACTCACTTATTTCAATTCAAACGATAAAGGCTCCTCCCAAGATTTACCTACTCAACATGGTGTGGTTGAAATCGATCATGACAAAGAGGAGTCCAGTATCAGTAAGACGACTTTTGAGACGTCTCAAATGTCCCCAGACCGACCTACGCAGCATGGTGTGGTTGAAATCCGTAATGACAAAGAGGAGCCCAGTATCAGTAAGTTGGGGAGCATGGAATAATTAGCCAGTGCAAATCAAGTAGGGTCAAGGTTAGTTAGTCCCCCTGATCAATGCCAGTACGGACAAGCCAACCTGGTCAGGGACCGTCCGTGAGCACCAGGTCTGCACCACCCTTGGGTTGAAAACGACTCAGTCCTGCTAAAGTCAAGGCGAGTCAAGACAGTCAAATTTAGTCAGTCAATCTCACTCACTCACCTCATCAGGGTCGGTAAGGACAACCTCGGCCCCGAAGGCCTTGAGCAGCACGCGGCGCTCGAGGCTCATGGAGGCGGGCATGGTGAGGACGAGCTTGTATTGTAGCCCCAATGGGGCCCAGGCGAGTCAACAAGTAGCACCCCATTCAGGGTCAACGCAAGGCGATGCCAACCCAAATTGGGGTCTAGTGGAGTCCGTCCCACTCACCTGGTGAGGGTCAGTAAGCGCACCTCATCAGGGTCGGTAAGGACAACCTCGGCCCCGAAGGCCTTGAGCAGCACGCGGCGCTCGAGGCTCATGGAGGCGGGCATGGTGAGGACGAGCTTGTAGCCCCTCGCCGCTGCTATGAACGCCAAGCCGATGCCCGTGTTGCCCGACGTCGGCTCCACCAGCACACTCTGTTTAGACGAGAGGGATCAGGGGGAACATGGGGACACAGGATAACGATGAGTGGGTGGGACACATGAGCCTGCTCAAGCCAAGGTGATGCCCGAGTTGCCCGAGGTCTCCTCAACCAGCACCCTCTGGTCAAAGGGGAGGCATAAGGGGTAGTAAGGGGTAGTAAGGGGTAGAAAGGGGTAGTATCTCTCATGCCCGTGTTGCCCGAGGTCTCCTCAACCAGCACACTCTGGTCAGATGGGGAGGGATAGTGCAGAACGGGGGGACAAGGGGTAGTACCTCTCATGCCAATGTTGCCCCACGTGGTCCTTGATGCTCCCACACGGCTCTACGGTCTGCATGCACAGGCATCCACCCACACAAACGCACCTTGCCAGGCTTGATCAGCCCCTTCTCCTCCGCGTCTGCAATCATGCTGTATCCCACGCGGTCCTTGATGCTCCCACACGGCTCCATGCCCTCCAGCTTGCACGCACTCACTCACTGCCACTCACAGACACACTCACAACACACACGTGCGTACCTTCCCGGGCTTGATTAACCCCTTCTCCTCAGCATCTGCAATCATGCTGTATCCCACGCGGTCCTTGATGCTCCCACACGGCTCCATGCCCTCCAGCTTGCACACGATGCTCCCAACACACCCCTCCGACAGTTGGTTTAAATACACCATGGGCGTGCGACCGATGAGCTGGGGGGTGATCAGGTCAGGTGGCAGGGTTGGGCAGGGCAGGAGAGCAGGGGAGAGATGGGATGAGCCGTAGCTTGCACACGATGCTCCCCACACACCCCTCCGCCAGTTGGTTCAAGTAAACCAGGGGCGTGCGACCGATGAGCTGACAAGGAAAGCAGGGAAAAGGTGGGGGGAAGAACCTCAGATTGCACGCTATGCTCCCCACACACCCCTCCACCAGTTTGTTAAAGTAGGCCATAGGCGTGCGACCGATGAGCTGGGGAGGTCAGGGTGTGTGAGAGGTTGGCAGGGGAGAGTTGGGGGGATGAGCCTCGGCTTGCATGCAATGCTACCCAGCTTGTCAGAGGCTCTCCTTGATGCTCCCACACGGCTCCATACCCTCCAGCTTGCACGCTATGCTCCCCTCCCCACACATCCCTCCGCCAGTTCGTTAAAGTAGACCACGGGCGTGCGACCGATGAGCTGGGGGTGTAAGGGGGTGGAGGGTTGAAGTGTGGAGCAGTCAAGATGTCAGTCATGCCCCCCACGCACCCCTCCGAGACCTTGTTAAAAATTGAGACACCATGGGCGTGCGACCGATCAGCTGGGGGTGCGAGGGAGTGGCAGGGCAGGGCAGGGGAGAGAGGAAGCTTGCACGCTACGCTCCCCACACACCCCTCTGCCACCTTGCTCATACACCACGGGCGTGCGACCGATGAGCTGTGCTGCAGGATGTGGCACGGAAAGGAGAGCAGAGGAGAGATGGGGGGATGAGCCTCAGCTTGGAGGTCAGCAGCAGTCATGGATTGGCAGGAGTAAAAAGAACGGTATATCTGACAAGGGAAGAGCAATGGTGTACCTGAGTGACGTCATCAGCTATGTTGGTTTCCGGTCGCTTTGGCCCCTTATGGCGATGGTGCTGGTGCGGGTGATGCGGGTTCAGGACCGACAGGGCACTCTTCAGTCCCCATATAAACTGCATCGTTTCCGACGTCCTTCCTCCTGTCAAAACCCGCCTCTTTTTTCGGCTTGTGCTCGTTATTTCCCTTATTATAGGACTCTACAGAGGATATGCGAGTTGTTTCTTCCCGAATAAAACAACAAAGTCAGCCGAGGAGGTCTACCAATAAATACACACAAACTGCCGATTTCGCAGCGTATGGAGAATTGACCTTAGAAAACAACCGTATGTCAGCCACAGCGTACGACCTTGGGTTTCGATTAGCTTCCACCGTGAGTTTTCCGCCACGCTCAGGTCTGTGACTGCAACGGCTCTTGAATTTGTTTTTTTTTGTCGACTTTAAGGTTAGAGACTGTCTCGACAACGAAGCGAAGTGCTGAGGGCCAGCAGTAGCGATTCGAAAGGTCTTTAAACCAGATGAATTAAACGCCGGTGGTTGAAGCGTGGGTCTGCTGACACAGCAGCGACAGCGTAAATAAAACGCCAGTTAACGTGTGAATTTGCTAGTGCAGAAACAGCGTAAACGCAACAGCGAGTCAGCTACTAGTGGCGGGGATATCGCGAAGGTCGGAGATTTTTTACATTCCAGTGCCACGAGACGATTCCCTGAATGTAAGAGAAAAGCGCGTCGTTTTCACGGCAAAAACGGGATGCGACGTTCCGCGCTGTCGGCCAGAGCCACAGCAGTTCTGCATCTGATTCGCCATGGTTTAGAGACTCACGGAATGGTGTAACTTCATACAAATCCACCATTACACGTGATTTGTCATAGGACTCCCTGGGCTGTCTGTGCCAGCAGTCAGCGAACTTGGTTGAGGGTTCTGTACAGCGGATTTGGACTAGGCGACAAGCAATCCAGTGGAATACAGCTTCTGCCACCCTGGAGTCGCTCAAACCCGAAAACATTCGACAAAGAGAGCATCAATAGCAGAATACACTGCCCCTACTACAGATATTTTTCAATGACTCTGCTATTGATTATGGAAGTGCGATGTATGAACAACTAGAATCTCAATGTAAGAACACTGTGGTTCGATTAGTGATGTTCGTGTACCTTCCAAGATTCTAGTGCTGATGCTGCAAACGTGCCTGGATTTCATTAGACAGAAAGATGGCCGGCCGGATATGATTGGAGACGGCACGTCTCCGTGGAGGTCTGGGATCAGGTTGTCAGATCAGAGGGACCTGCCTGCAAATTGGGAGCATCTCCCAGTTTCGCGAAATAGCTTCGCGAAGCGATATTTTGGTGATTGTGTCCAGTGTCTCCTACTCGCATAAGGCCTGGTCTCGCTAGCGTTCATCGTCAAGCAAAGTGGGGGAATGTGTTGCTTCCGCGCACCGCAACCAGGGCGAAGTTCTCGAAGCTCCCCCTCCCTCCCTTCCCTCCACCCAATCCAACCCAGTCCCACCCAGTTTTAGGCTGTCATCGCACTCCGCTCTGCCCAGAGGCGCAAACACCCGCGCATCCTTCCCCGCGCCACTGGCTTGTCAGTGCAGATGCAGCCCATTGGTGTTCCCATCTGCTGACGATGATCCCAAGGTCCGGCAGAGACAAATTTCTTGACTTATCTCTTCTTCAGCCATTATTTCGAAGTATTCCCATCTTTTGTCTTCGGAGTAATCTCTTAGCTCCAAGTTTGTTTCTAAGCTACTTTTCCTCCATTGTAAAGCCATGGCTGCTGTCTCAGTCTCATCGTCGGCTGTCAAGGCTTCAGCTGTTTTTTCTGCGGCTGAGCTTCGGACCTCGTTCTTGAAGCCAGTCGTGTCATTTGTTCAAGCCAAGAAGCCTGCTCGTTCCTTCTCAGCCGCAGCGGGCCGTTGCGAGGCGTCCTCGATTAGGAAGCAGGATGTTTCGGCGAAAGCTCAATCTGTGGAAGCTGAGACTGCGACGGCGACGAACATCGCTGCAGATGTGACTCAGGTCGGTAAAATGTATTGACATTTTTTTATGTTTTCGCAGCTCCGTCGCGTTAAATTTCTAGTGGATGTAACCAATTTGCAACTTTGCTGCTTATCGCATCATAATATGTGCGGTTATTCAAGAAGAAGGAAAGCACGAGATTATCTCGAATTCTAACAAGTTTTTCATCTGCTACGCGTGCAGCTGATCGGCAGCACCCCCATGGTGTACCTGAACAAGGTCGTCGACGGCTGTGTCGCCAACATCGCCGCGAAGCTCGAAATCATGGAGCCCTGCTGCAGCGTCAAGGACAGGTGTGCCGCCTTGATTAAAACTGTCAGCTTTCATGAGAGCCATAAAATTTAATGAGCCGTGAGGCAGCGCCAAGGACAAGAGAAAATAATCTCTGTCGAAATTGAACGCCTTTTGTATGAATTTGTAGCGGGACCTCATTTCCGTGATTCTATGCGCAATGCGCATTGTTGCGATCTGAATCTAAGCTGCAGAGGTCGTATGTCTGGTGCTTATTTACCCTCTCGTTACCATCAAGTGGCATTGGAGTAGTTTTTGTTTAAAAATATATTCTACATCTAGTCTGTCCTGGAGTCATTATTTGGAAATGTCGAAGAAACTCAGAGGTCGTTAGTCCCATTTCGCGTCCCTCTCTACGCCATCTCGCTGTGTCTTATTTCCCAATTCATTTCGCTTGTCATTACCCTACCCCTCCTGTTGTCCGCAGAATTGCATACAGCATGATCAACGACGCTGAGGAGCGAGGCCTCATTGAGCCGGGAAAGGTAAGCGGAGATCGAATTCCAGCGTTTTTTTTTTTCAATTTCACCCTACCTTCAGCCTTTCGCAACAATATATACTCGCGTGTCTTATTTACGCGTTTCATCACCTTGTGCTATCTCTCTGATGCGTCCCTCTCGTCATCCCTCCACATCTCAACCTTCTCAGAGCGTGCTGGTGGAGCCGACGTCGGGCAACACGGGCATCACCTTGTATCCTGCCATTGCCCTTCCCCCCTTGCCCCTTTCGTCCCCCCCAGAGCGTACTGGTGGAGCCGACGTCGGGCAACACGGGCATCGGCTTGGCGTTCATAGCAGCGGCGAGGGGCTACAAGCTCGTCCTCACCATGCCCGCCTCCATGAGCCTCGAGCGCCGCGTGCTGCTTCAGGCGTTTGGCGCGGAGCTCGTTCTGACGGACCCCGCCAAGGGCATGAAGGGCGCTGTTGCCAAGGCGGAGGAGATTGTGAAGGGCACCAAGGACGCGTACATGCTGCAGCAGTTCGAGAACCCGGCCAATCCCAAGGTAGAATTGGCACGACGACGTTTTTTTTTTTTTTTTTTTTCAAGAGAATGTGGGGTTGAGACTGGGGTCGGGCTTGTGGTTTGGGGATGGCATTCGGGACGGCTCCGCAGGCGTCTGGCGCGGAGCTCGTTCTCACTGACCCCGCCAAGGGCATGAAGGGCGCGGTGGCTAAGGCGGAGGAGATTGTGAAGGGCACCAAAGACGCGTACATGCTGCAGCAGTTCGAGAACCCTGCGAATCCAAAGTTCGGCGAAATTGTAGCGACGATTTAGTGTAGAGCTGCTCTCAGCTTACCTTCCCCGGATCACGCATCTCAGCTTAACATCGCCAATTACGCATCAGCTTATCCCCCTTATCGCCCGCCTCCCTTGTCGCACACCATCTTTTCACACAACCCCTTTCCCCACTTCCCATGTCGTCTCCCCTCCCTCAAAACTCGTGGTTCATTTAGTCCGCAGGTGCATTTTGAGACGACCGGGCCGGAGATTTGGGAGGATACGCGCGGCACTGTGGACTTCCTCGTCTCAGGCATTGGCACCGGCGGCACTGTCACGGGCACTGGCCGGTACCTGCGCAGCCAGAACCCTAACGTTAAGGTGAGATGGAAGGATGAGTGGTCACGGTGGGTACTGGGTGGCATATGAAGGTACTCTGGCGCATCAGTATGGGTGGTAGCGTCATTGGCACAGGCGGCACTGTCATGGGCACTGGGCGGTATCTGCGTAGCCAGAACCTCAACGTTAAGGTGAGATGAATGGGTGGTTTCAGTGGGGTCTGGGTGGCATATGAAGGTAGTCTGGCGCATCAGTATGGGTCGGGCTGTTGTGGGCATGGGGACGGACCATCATGGGCACGACACAGGGCGGTACCTGCACAGCCAGACCTCAACGGATGGGTAGTCATGGGGGGGAATTGAGCGATCAGCCTATCAAGGTATAAGCACAGGCAGCACTGTCACGGGCACGGGGCGGTACCTGCGCAGCCAGAACCCAAACATCTAGGTGAGATAAAAGGGTAGTAAGGGGGGGTAATTGGGCGGCTATCAGTCTCTCAAGCTGGTCTGGCTGGCGCATCAGCACGGGCAGGCAGCACTAGCATTGGCATGGGCGGGAGTGTCATTGGCACGGGGGGGACCGGCACGGGCACGGGGTGGTACCTGCTTTTGAGACGTCTCAAAAGACTTTTGAGATGTCTCTAAAGACGGGCACGGGGGTGGTACCTGCGCTGCCAGAACCCCAACATCAAGATGGGATGGACGGGTTGTCATGGCAGAGAGTGTTGGCACAACGAACCTACCCATTTCGATCTTGAGGAATTGCGAGGTGGGGAATCTGGCGCGTCGGACTCTTTCATCGTTTCCACACTCCTGCCCTTGCCACCCAAGTTCTTTCTTTCATGCACCAAAAGGCTTCAAATAATGGCGGAACCATGACAAATGTGATTGTACCCACCAAAAGCATGTCATGATTCTATTTGACATGACAAACGTGATTTTACCTACCATGCTGATCCCGTCTCTCTTCCATTGCCCTCGCTCCCTGCCCATGCTCCCTGCCCCGTCTCTCGCACAGCTGATTGGAGTGGAGCCCAAGGAGAGCGCTGTTATATCAGGTGGAAAGCCAGGTGAGACTCTAATGGCTGTCATAATGATCAACAGACGACTTCTGAGTTGAGTTAGAAGTCAGCCCGAGATCGGGTTCTCTCAGGGAGAAAGCCAGGTGAGACCCTACTGGCTGTAAATAACAATTGATAAGGAGACGAGTTTTGAGTCAACATTTAAGTGAGCCCAAGGAGAGCGCTGCTTTC